GAACCTGAGCTCCGGAATGCCTTGCCTGTTGCTACTAGCAAGAAGGGAAGAATGTGGCCCTTCCATGCCTCACACGAACTCTACACAGCTCTGGAATGCTTTGCAAGAGCAGGTTTACTTTCGTTTTTTTTGCATTCACTTACCTACGTTACGACTCGACAAGTATGGCCAGTTGCGTTTCGAACACCCAGTGTGGGTCTTCCTACCACTCAGATGCTTCCAAATGGTTCCGACGCGAGAGGAAGTGGTGGGGCCTTTGGAAGTTCTACTTGATCGACGGGAGCTGAGATCGCTATGAGAGTTGACACAAAGAGGGCAAATCAAACACGCTAGTACGTTGGAGGCCATCGCTCTTAGGTTGGAGGCCATCGCTAGTAGGGGCAAATCAAAGAACGACTGATCAAAGCGCAAATGACTTTTGCTTAGGCCTCGAAAAGGTATGGGGCTCCATAAGCTTTTTGCGAAGGGCATGGCGAATCTCTCCAAAGGCAGGCAGTGCTTTTGCCAAAGCATAGAATTCTCACGATGAATATGCTCTTCAAACTCTGTCTAACGTTTGATTCGATGGCAGATTGATGAGATCTACCATGGCATTTCGTACAGAATCTCCACAGCGACATCCATTCTGGCACAATCGGAGATTCTGCATCAGGTGCCAAAGCAGATCAGAATTTGCTCAGATCCATTCAAAGTTTGCTTCCTCTCCTGGATGTTGCTAGCTTTTCTGGTACTAGTCCTTTTTGCTTTGATTTCTTCAGGTAGCGAATCCTTTGGCTATTCCTAGATCCCTGAACTTATAACATTGATCCTATATTGATCTGTTTGGCAGGCACTCTGGGAGCTCAATCAACAAGATTTGAGCCACGACCTCATGTGCTGCTACTGCAGGCACTACTTTGCACTTTTTAAAACCTTCATCATATCTCCACTGAGGTGGAGTGCAACGACGCGTCGTGACGCAAGAAGCCTTGGAAATCTTCGTTTGTGAGTTTGTCTAGAAACACTAGAAACTCTAGAAGCTTGAAACATCCGACAGAGCTTCAGCAAAATCTATGCGGTCAAATCTGCACCCGCTATACTCCTACTCCTCCACACCTTTCTAGACTGTCCTTTAGATTGTAGGATGATTGTACCCTGGTGCAACCAAACCTGGTGAACACTAAGCTACGCTAATCCTTGTGCCACTTAGTGCCAGCTTGAAAGCACTCAGTTAGAACCCCTCGGCCAGATGGCGGTTTCCTAGGCGACTGGCTCGTGATGGGTTCATGATGGGTGCCTTGGATATGAACAAGTAGATGTTGAGCTGGTCTGAAACCGAAAGAACGTGAGGCAAAGCAGGGAAGATCAAGTAAAGCGAAGGGAAAAGAAGCGAGACATGCCAATACTTCAAGGAACCTGATAGCGATGGCCTCCAACGTAAAAGCGATGGCCTCCAACCTACTAGCTTCTTGTTCCTAGTCGTAATGCCAGGAGCTACTAGTAGCGTTCTTTCTACTAGTAGCGATGCCCTTGTTACTAGTAGCGATGGCCTCCAACCAACTTCCAACTTCCCAGGCCAAATCTTGTGACAAGAATCCACAAGAAGAATCGACACTGACACGGTGTTCTTTCGCAGGGATTGGCATTGAGGATGTCGAGACCCTGAAATCCATGGACGAAGGCCGAACAGAATTGAATGCTAAAGGCACTTCATCAAGTGCTTCGTCGATGTTTAATATTTCTTTTGAAAGCATTTGCCGGATGTTTCGGCGAGGTCAGAAGCAGTTGGTGCAGCTTGCAACAAGATTTGCAGAGAACGTGGCCAAAGATGAGGTGGGATCAGATAAGCACAGCATGTCCCGTCCCAACAGAAAAAATACAGTTTGGACTCGAAAAAACGTCCAAAGCTCTGAGTCCGTCTCACATCGTTTCCCGAGGCAGAAGCCCTTTTGCGTGTGAAATCTCAAGAAGAGATCAAAGGACTGCCGCAAAAGGCCAGCAGAGTGTCCAATTCCTGCTCTCCGCTTTGCAACACACCTTGCGTTGACTACATGTGACAACACGCGAAATGTGCACCAGTAATTACTTTCAATTCGTTGTGTTCCTAGCACTTCCTGGAGCAAGGTTCTTGATGCCACTGCCACGGATGAGGCAAGACACTTTTAGGGTGTTGGAAGACGGACCCGTAGAATCCATTGAGGCCTTGTTGGAAGCCGCGAACAGGCGGGAAGCCTTGAGCTCAGAAGAAGGTGCGTGTAGTGCATGTAGCTGCGAACAGCCCTTCCAGCCTTGCTTTCCGATGATTCGGTGAGCTTGACTCCGAAAAGCAGTGAAGATCCTGCAAGCTTCTATAGCTACTATAGCTTCTTGAGGCCTTGCAGGCCTGCTTGGATGCTGAAAATCCGGAACTGCGACAGCATGCGTTCCTGGCATCCCGACGGTCCGGTATCCCACGGTGGAGTTGCAGTTTCCCAACATGAATGCTATTTGTGAAGCAAAGAATACGTTGAAACCAGATGTCGACAGATTTGCAGAACAATGTGATATGCTGGGTCCACCTCAGGCTTGGTTTTGAAGCTGGTCATGCGCCTAGTCCATCCACATCTCACTGTTCTTCTCACCACGAGCACTTCATCCGTGCCCGTTGTGCCCGCTTGGTTCTAGGCAACCTCCCTGTGATCGCAGAGATGCTGCAGATTCGTCAGGCTAGATCGGGGCATCATGCAGTGCACGCGCCGTTTTTCATGTTTGTCAGAACCGGCACCGTCAACGAAGCACAGTGGAACGGAATGGAACGGCCCTGTTCGCTCTAAAGGCCTGGGCCAGCGCCCTCGGCTCGCAGCTGAGCTCTTTTATGTTTTGTTTCACAGTGATGGCCTCCAACCTAGTTGTCCTTGCTACTAGCAATGGCCTCCAAACTAGTAGCGATGGCCTGCACCATACTAGCTCTTGACACTTTGTTCCCTAAGCGACCTGAAGAACATTTGGAACGTAATCATCATTTTGTATGGAGTTGACTGGGCCTCAGGCTACAAGAGCTATGCGGACTTGGCCTTTGAATCTCGTTCTGGATCGAAAGCTGAGGCTCGGATTAGAATCCAAACTGAGATTTGTGGCATTGACAAGCACCTTCTGAAGATGTCTAAAACCACTTCCACTGTGGAGGTCGAGGTGTTGCTGGAGACCCTACGCAAAAGCAGCGAGGCTTTCACACGAAGACAGGGAGAACGAGACATGGAAGAAAGAACGGATTCTGCCGAGAGGACCTCCATGAACTCAGACTGATGATGTGATATGCATTTGTCTCTCAACTGTATAAACTGACGAAACATGATGCTTTTCAAACTAATCCGTGCGGTTCATCGCTCTGGGAGAATCCTCTTTGGGCTTCATAGCGCACTCCTTGACTGCTATGATGCAGTGAACTGGAGAAGTGGACTTGAGGCAGCTGCCGTAGAAGAGTTGAAGGACCTGACAGTTGGGTTTCACGTGCAAGACAAGGACCAAATCTCTAATTGATTCAGCTCCGGGACCGATCAAGCAGAGTCAAGTTGGAGAAGAGCCCGCGTAGTGACCGAAGACATCCGAAGACCTGTCCTGGTAGTCCGTTGGGAAGTGCTGAGACCACAAGTTCGAGACTCATCTCTTGACGAGTCGCGAGTCGAGGAGTTGAAAGCGGCTGGCGACCTTCGGACTTCGGACCGGAAATCGGTGTTTGCAAGAGCTCTTCGCATGGGAGTGGTTTTAAGAGCTCGTCAGCTCGTCGTTTTTTAGCAAACTCAAATAAAATAGAAGCTGGACTTGAGCCCGTACCTCAACTGTTCTTCTCTTCTTTCTGCCATAAGTCCTTGTGTGTGTGTTTTTTGTTTCGCAGGATTTGCACTACTTCAAATCGAAGAGAAAGAATGAGCTAGTGCAGGACGGTCTTGCTTCGGGTGTATCCTGCAGACTGCAAATCACCCTAGAATCTTCCTGCCCAGGACTTGGACCTGAAACCCTTCCTTCCACTCTCTGGAGTGCCAGCACCACAGAAAGAAATGCTTCAAGACACTAATTACTCACTCATCCGTAGCACCTCAATCATGTAGCACCTCGTTCCGGTGACCGGAAAAAACCAGCTGCTGGCGACCGGAATCCAGCTTGGCCGGTGACGCCAATCTCAGGGTACGTGGACTCTTCCGTCTGATTGAGAGTCTTTTTGCAGCGACTTGGCTCATACAGCGTTGCGCCCATACTGTTCTGTAGTTGGCCCATGTTGGCCCGTTTGTTCGATGTTTTTGGAGATGGCTAAAATATGTCTTGTTTCTACTAGCTTATTGTTACTACTAGTAAGGCACTTGTTACTAGAAGCGATGCACTTGTTACTAGTAGCTTATTGTTACTAGTGGCACTACTAGTGGCTAAAAGATGCTAAAATACTGGCAGTTCTTTCCCAGGTGAAGCTGGAGCCAGCGACGGCTCGAAAGGAAGTGCCGCTGTGGCACAGGACGAGAGCCGTCAGAACTGACACATCCGTGTTCACGTCGGAACGGCTGGCACAAGCAGATACGAGCAGCCCGTCTGTGAGGAGCATCCGCTTTTACCGCCTGGTGGATACCAAGTCGCCGCCTGGCATATGCGCAACAGTGGCGTTTGTCCTTGTTTTTTTGCTGCCCTTATGGCTTCATGTGTTGGCTACTCTTCATGAAGAAACACTACACATCGGCATGAAACTGAAGAAACACTGAGGGGACACCCCATTGGTGGGCTGTACTTAGACTTGTCCGCAACCTAAGTCCGAAGCCACCACGCTGCAGTGCAGTCTGACAGATTCGAGGTTTCAGCATGGCAAGAAGCTGAGCTCTGGCTTTTGGGCCGTTTGGAACCCAGGTCCAAGTCTGACATTGCTGAACACCGGCCGACTGATTTGACTGGCAGATTTCAGCATGTTGGGCAATGTTCTTTTCTTTTCATCTCATGATTTCGAAGAGTTGCATTGTACAAGCTGGCTTTACATGGCTCTATTTGCTGCTGTCGGCCCAAAGTTAGTCGCTTGCAAAACTAGGCAGGCCTCTCGTTTGCTTGTTGCTTGGCGTCGACTTAGGCATGCTTGTTTCTTGGCATGTTCAAGTGCAAATGAGAATGAGGGCGTCTGGTGTTTCCCTTTCGCCGAGGTTCATCTCTGTGACTTCATATGGCAGCGCGGTATTGTTGACTACAGCACTCTGGCAAGCAACGGCAACATGACAGCTCCATGCAGTCTTAGGGAGAAATACATATTTACAGACACGAGCAACCTACGGGTGTGGCGGAGGATTGAAACAAATTGAGAAATGCACCAGAGAAAGTTGTGAGAAAGAAAGTCAGTCCTAAGCACAAAAGTAGGAGGGAGCTGGTTTTGAGAAGCGTTGATTTTTCTCTAAGGCCACGACATGCCCGAACTTTCATTGCGAATGCTGCACCGAACTTTGGTGCTTCTGTTCGTTCTCTCGGATGCGACCGAGACTGAGAAACTCAGCCCGTTGGCGAAGAACCTCATAGCAACTCTCAGCTCTTCTGGGATTCCGGCACTCGACTCAGATCGAAGTGTTTCTCTTTTTGGGAGAAGGACAGAGAGATCATTCTTGTAATCAAAATGATCTAAAGAAAAACAAGATACATTGCAAAAACCAAGAAAGAAAGAAAGAAACAAACGTGCCCTTGTTCACAGCGAGTGGTCCACCTCAAAAACCATGAATTGGCGCCCTCTCTTTTCTCCGACAGTGGCAGCTGCTTTGAGGTCATGAGAAGAGATGTTGGCCATGAGAAGCGACATGAAGATCCCGAGATTTGGCCGAAAAAGGCATATCCGAGGCATTTGACAGCAAAAGAGCCACTTGGACAGAGTTGATTTGCTGTCTTTTGCTTTTAAAATAGCCTCACTCATCGCAATCTGATTCAAAACCAGAAAGAACGATGATGTATGTTTCTTGACCTTTTTTGACCCTTCTGGAGCAATTTGCAAAAGGCACGTGGTAAGCAACTCTCGGATGATGATCAGCGTTGGCAGTATGGCTGATACCAAGTCTCACAAGTCCCCCGCGATGCCGGAGGAGCGGAGAATTGCGTTTTATGACATACTTCAGATGACCTAGCTACGAACAAAGAAGCTTCCTTGGGAATCGTTTCACCTGTGGTAACAAGAAGCTACTAGTAGGTCTTTGAAGCTACTAGAAGGAACCAAGAAAAAAACATTCAGAAATGAAATAAGATTAATAGCGACGGCCTCCACCCTAGTAGCGATGGCTTCCAACCTAATAGCGTTGGCCTCCAAAACTTTGCATGGCCCACTGTATGACTGTATGCTCCTTTTCAGTGTTTCCGTTTTCCTATCTTTCTTCTAAACAGCTTGATTTTTCAAGTCTTTTTTCCTTCAGAGAAGTGAACAGAAACTGCAACTTCAACAGATGATGACAGTGCTTTGTTTCACCAGGAAGAAACCGAGGATATGGAGACCTCTACGGTCTCGCATCTTGGCATCCTTTCAGACATTCTTTTCCGCCTGTCCCGGACAGACCTTTTCCGTCACTGTCACCGACATGAGAGCAATGACAGACATAGTTCGGGTAGATAAGCTAGCCCTTGAAGAGCTTGAGCCCTTGAAGTATTTTGAAGTCGCTATTTGGTAGTCGCATGTGAAGCCCAAACAGCGGTGAAGATGTCGCTTTTTCTGCACCAGTAACAAGAAGCTACTAGAGGCTCCTGGCCTTACTACTAGGAGCAAGGACGCTACTAGGGGCTCCTGGCCTTACTACTACTAACAAATCGCTTTGAGGTTATGGTATATACGTGTTTCTAGTAGGAACAAGTGCATCGCTTCTAGTAACAAGTGCCTTACTAGTAGTAACAAGAAGCTAGTAGGTTATTGTTTCTACTAGCTTCTTGTTACTACTAGTAAGGCACTTGTTACTAGGAGCGATGCACCTGTTACGAGGAGCGATGCACTTGTTTCTGCGCTACTAGGAACAAGAACGCTAGTTAGTAATTTGAATTTAGTTTTATCTTAATTCTGACTACTATATTGCTTCTTTGTTACTACTAGTAAGGCACCTGTTACTACTAGCGTGGCACCTGTTACTGTTTCTGCCGGTTTTTTTTCCCACCGTCTCTTCAGGCCGGAAGAGTCAGAGTCCACCTCGGAGGCCCTTCACGCGCCGGTTTCTGCGTTGTCACAACGTGGTGACCGGTGACACGGCCAATTTGGGCGTGAATTTATAGGAATTTTAAATGACGAGACCATACGAAACCCCTAAGAATGGGTTTTGGATGGTTTTGGTCGATTTTCGTTCTCCCCGTTTTGATACACCCCGATGTTTAACTGTTTCCTAATGTGTCCCTTTTGTTATCTTTGGTTCTTCCTTGTGAGGAGGCCGAGGCCGGCGACAGCGAAGAGGACAAGCCAAAGACAGAAGAGAACAAACGAAAAGATATGAAGAGATAAATGATTTGTCTCGGCCAAACAAACTACCAAGAAGACAGGATAATTACACAGAGTTTTGCTTGTAGGTGTATTCATATAGATTTATGATGATTCATGTAGTCACTCTTTGAACAGCTGAGAGGGCTGAGAGGTTTTGCTTCAAAAAGGGTCCTCTTCAAGACATGATTCACCCTATATCATCACTTATATACCATCACTTAAGTTAACCAATGATATTATAGTAAAGCCAGTAAAACAGTAAAGCAGGACTTTTGCCCCCAAGATCTTTGCGACACGTCTCAGGAGGAAACAACCAGTTCTCCAGCAAGGAGACATGTCTTGTCATCAGATTCAATTAAGCTTATCTCAAAGATTGCAAGTATTTGGCAGCCACTTCTTGGACAACCTGTGTCTTCTTGAAGAGTTTTAAGTTTGGCAGGACCACGACCAAGACCACGACTACAAGCACGAGCACCACTGTAACTGCCACCACTACAACTGCGACTACCACAACAGTGACGACCACAGAGAAGGCAACGACAGCAGCCACCTCGACAACCACAGAGAAGGCAACAACTTTGAAAGCCACAACGAAAGCTACAACCGCTACAAGTGCTACTACCTTGACGACTGCGACCCACACGAGACCTTGCAATCAGGCCGTCAATGGTTGATGACTTCGCAGTTTGTCAGTGGATGCAGAAACGATGTGCATCTGAAGGTCACGACCAGCACTTCACCGAGTACTCGACACAGTCTTGAGTACTTGCAGGTGTGCCCGTGGATTCGATCGTTTTGATAGTTCGATAGACTCCTATCGAATCCGGGGCAACAGAACAAATGCTCATAGTGATTAAGTTTTTAGTTTTGTGTCACACAGAGTGTAGCTGCAACAGTTCTCAAGTGTTATTGGTTGCTTTCTGTGTGTCGGATGATATTTCTTCGAATAATGCTTTTAAGTGATCTGGCCAAGTGAAGTGATGGGATGAGTCAACTCAGGCCGTTGAGGCTGGTGAAGTAGCTGCATCTGCAGCGAAAGCGGAAGGCTTGCCACCGGCACAGCAAGCTGCACGAGCTGGCAAGGCCAAGACGAGGGTCAACATTTGAACAACTGAAAGCGCTGAAAGGAGCAGAACAACGCATTTGCACTGTCCGGTCAATGTTACCGTTTACCATTTTTGCGGTGTTGGCAAGTTTGGTTGAATTACTTACGATATCTTACGATGGTGTTTTCTGAATTTCAAGACACTTAAAGCTTCTTCGAAAGGGCTCCAGGAAAATTTGGCTGTAGGAATGGGACTATAGCTATAGGCTCCAGAACCATCACTCGGTGAGTCCTAAAAAGACTAAAATCGATCTTTCTTCACATTTCGATGAGGCGGCGGCGGAGGCAGCTGCGGCCTTTGGCTTGAAACCGCTGGAGATGCTCTTGGCCGCGGGGCAGGCGGCTGCAGCTGCTGCAAAGGCTGCAGAGCTTGCAGCGGTGGAACAGGCTGTTGGGGCCATCGGGACCATTGGCTTTCTGGGAGAAGACAAAGGACAAAATAGTGACAATAGAAATCAATAGTACACTATGTCATTTTTTAAACACAATATATGCATTTATGAAAGACACATGAAAAACTGTTTATTCGAAGTGCCAGTCAGTGTAAAAAAAATACCTTACGGGTGCACAACCGCTTACATGTTCAACAAACCACAAACGATGAGGAGCCCGTCCTCAGGCAGTCCCTGCACTTTTTTGGCCAATTTTGGATGTTCGAACGTCTCCCCAGTGAGGTACGAGCAGCTGTCCTAGCGACCGAAGTTGCTGCTCAGCAGGCCACAGAAGATGTCCGTGTTTTGGCTCTGGGGCGACGCTCCATGACACTCCCACTTCCCGCAACACTCGCAACATGCCCTTCAGGCTGGCGTTTCGCAAGAGAAGGAGGCCACGGCAGCTGCCAAGGCAGCCTTGGCGGCAGCAAAAGCAGCTGGTCTCAGCAGACAGGACAAGCTAAGACGGAATGGCAGATATGTGGAACATGTCTAAACATACAAAAACTATCAAAAACTGCTGAATATTCAACCAGCTCTTGCTTCGTGCAGATTGAAATCTAACTAGCGGAGGTTGTACTTAGCTATCACTTTAGGTTATTAGCCCTCCTTCAATATATCAATTCTAAGACTGACATTACCAGCAATCTGAAATGCAATCGTACAGCAACGCACAGGAGCAAGCCGTGGTCTCCGGTCAGGTTGTGGCTTCAGTTCGGCAGAGCTTGCGTGATGCACTGGCCAAGAAGATCCAGGAGCCTTTCCAAGAATCTATTTGTGCAGTTTTTTCTAAACATGCACATCCAATGAACAAATGTGATGCGTCATGCTGCATGATGCATCCAGTCTTTATATACTTCCGCTACTTCGTTTTTAACACTGCAACAGATCGAGAAAGTGGGATCGAGTTGGTGAGGAGATTCACACAGCGACTGCCACGAAAGCGCCCACTTCACACAAGCTTCTTGACCATGCTTGACCATTCTTGACCACCTTCACTGGGCCCTTAAAGTTTTAAGAACACATATTTTGTTGTTTGCCGAGTAAGGAGTAGTGCTAAGCCAAAGGCCGAAGGCCTTTAAAAAAGACGACAACCGAGGGAAGGTCCAAACAAAGACAGGTCTAACGAAAATAAAAAACACACACGAAATGGTCTCTACAGTCTAAAGGTCAAACGCAACCATGAAAAAAACATCAGTAAAAAGAAGAAACATATTTACAGAAAGAAGAGGAAGAGGAAGAGGAAGAGGAAGATGTGAAGAAAAGGAGGAGGTTGAAGTCGTGTTTTGTTGAATGGCTGGCTCAGGTCCAACAGCGAGGTCCATGAAGCAGTGGTTGCCGCCCATGAAGCGGCGCAGGCGGCTTCACAGGCGGCGGCACAGGCGACTGATGCCGTGAAATCTGCAGAGAGTGCGACTTGGTGAATCAGAGAACCAAAATGAATTGAACAGAAAGGCAACCAGGTAGTAGCCAGAATCAATCGATCAATGGTGTTCTGGCACTTTACCCATTTTACTTGCTACCTTTAATATGTTTACACTCCCGATGGCTCTGGCTTGAAAGGGATACATAATTGCACAATGTTGTGCATTAGATCCAACGTTTCCATCGACCAATTCTGCTCCGACATCCGAATTGCTGGGCGCACCAGCCGTGCCGGTCGCATGCGCAATAAGGTGAATAAGGCGAATGGTTCAGACGTCCCATTGGAAGAAACCAAAGCACAGACTGATGGAGGAGGAGAAGAAGAAGTGTGCGTTTGAAGTTTATCTTTGCAGGTTGAGCGAGTGAATCGTTTTGCTTTGCAATGCGGCCAGCTGAATCAAACTCAATCAGATAGCATCGCTCAAGGAGCTGAGATCCAAGATATGCTGAAAAAGCTCTCAGAGCAAGTGGCAGAGACGCCTGGCTGCTACAAAGCCGTTTCCCTTCTTGCAGACATGTGTCATGTTCGTTCAATACATGGTGACCTTTTCTATGTTTCTTGCGCGACGTGCAAGGACGCTGGCCAGGTTGGAGAAAGTGGAAGGTGTCGAGAGAAACTTGGAACAAAAACAGGGCGAACACAATTTTTTTTCTAATACCAATGGCCTCCAACCTAACAGCAATGGCCTCCAGCCCAATAGCGATGGCCTCAAATCTAATAGCAATGGCATCCAACCTAGAAGCGATCAGCTTGAACCTAAAAGCGATGGCCTCCAGCCTAGAAGCGTCGGCTTCAACCCAACAGCAAT